TTTTCGATAAATAAATATATCACGTTAATCATCTCGCGGAGTAGAACGTGAATATGCTAGGTCTCGTATTATTTAAAAGGTGGGTCCCACTGAAATTTGGGCTCAAAGTTGACCCATTAATCATTTTTTCCAACAAAAAGTTTTCAAAGAGTCGCTGAATTTTAAAAATCACCTAAATCACTGAACTTTGCGAAAAAATTTCAAGAAACCACTGAATTTTAAAAATCACCTAAATTGTCATTGAACTTTGCAAAATGTTTCCTTGAAATTACTAAATTTTGCAAAAGGTTTACCATGGATCACTGAATTTAGTGACCCTTGGGAAACATTTTTCAAAGTTCAGTGACTATTTAAGTGATTTCTAAAGTTCAGTGATCCTGTAGAAACTTTTTACAAAGTTCAGTGATCATTTAAGTATTTTTAAATTTAAATGACTCCTGAAAAACCTTTTGTAAGAAATGAATAATCAAAAATAATAATAATGAAAAGCCTAAATGGAGCCTCTGCGAGGTGGTTTTTTTTTTCCCCCCACTTTAAACAACTTCTTGTTGCCTCCAAAGCCGTCGAAAAATATCTCCCATGCCACTTGTATCATACACCCAACACAAAATAGAATCTCTTCGCGGAAGAATAAAGAATCACAAAATGTGGAAAATAGCTTGATTTTTTCATTCCAATAAGGATTACCAAAAGTTCTAAATACCTGACTATCTATTTCCATGCCAAACTTACATTAGCAACAATGGTTACAATTGGTACTACAGTCCTCGACAAGATTTATTTAACCCTTGTTTGGACTCCATTTTTTTAAGAATGTGTAATTAAAAAATAAAGGAAATTTTTTTAGGTTTACGTATAATATCATTTTATTGAAAAATGTGTGATTGATAACAAGAAAGAGAAAAATGAATTTTAATTTAATGGGGGCCAAATAAGGGACTAACACTTCTTCTGTACTTGAAGATACATGAAGCCAAAACCCCTACTGCATTTCTCCAAAATTTTCGGCCACTTTCCTTCTCCAAAAATTTATTGATCTCCAAGAAGGGTTGGCACCAACAATTTGTGTTGGCTTCGGTGAATTCCGCTAGCTCTGATGGTGAGAGAAGGATTATATGATTTTTGGTTGGGGGTGATTTTTGTGGTTGGGTGTGGGGGTGTGTGGGGTAGAGGGAATAGGGACGGGTAGACAAGACGATGTTTACTTCTCTTTTATTTTTTATTTAATTCTTTGAATAGATATTCACTACTTTGCCCCTTCTCAATTGATTAAAATACGGTCAAACATAACTTTTGGGTCAGCTGGTGGAGAAATGGATGGAAACCGTAAAAAATGATCTCACTTACAATGTTTGGAAAGGTTAAGGGTAACAGTCGCATCAAATCAGAGGTTTGAGAAAAATTTGCTAATATTTCAAAGGTTTGAAACTTTTGCTGTAATTATCCCTTTATTTTATGCAATAATTATTTCTAGTGCATTATAGAATATTCTTTTATCTGCATGGAGTTTCAATTTTTTTACGGGACAAATGGTCAAATACATAAATATTATGCGCGTTAAAACTTAGTGTAAATTACTCCAAGGATCCCCAATCTTTTCTAAGTGTGATGTTCACATTTTCAATCTTTCGTTTGTTCCATCCCCGTCCCCCACTTCTTAACATTGTGCACGTTGTGTCCCAACTTGATTAAAAACTTCAGTAAAAAGTCACACGATGCTTACGTGATAGTGACTTATGACCATAAATTTTAAAAATAATCACTTCCATTTCAATTTTAGCTTTTTTATGTCATTACAAAGTAGTATTCAAAGTGAAGGAAGATTATTTTTGGACAATCATCCGCACCAATTATTTATCACGTGCTTAACGTGTAACCCTTTATCAATTTAAGAATTCAGTCATTTGAAAATGGGTTTTTGAGCCATGATACAGATGTTTGGACTTGGATTTCAAACTACCAACACAAGAATTCCATCATTTTTTTTGGAATTATAGTGGATCCAATTCAGTGATGTATCAAAAAAGTTGAGTACTATGAACTGAAGATAAATAGAAAGAGAAGTGTCAAGTATACGTCTAAATTTGGCCAAAATTATAACAAACAATTAACCAATCAAGCGCCTAGATCAAAGAGGAAGAATAAAGTTAGACCAATAAAGCATCTTCATCAAAAGATTCATTTTTATTTTTATTTATTTATTGGTGATTCATCCTAATTTGGAAGCAAATGAGAAAACAATCTTGTTCTTGAAATTCACTTGAGGAGAAGGATGTCTTTAGGGGAAGAATAATGTAACGGGATTATTTTCAATTTTCTATGTACTAGGAGGTGATTGTTCCTCGAATAACCAATGATTTTGGAGGTATTATAGGTTTTCTAGAAAAAAAACTAATAATCTTTTTCACTTTTTTCTTTTTTTTAACTTTTTGTTAGGAACAACGTGTCCCTAACATATATGTCATATACTGCGAACCAATGGTAATTTTCCAAATTTTAAATTCACGTGTGCAATATTACACGCTCCATTATTGTGATTAGAGATGTAAAATAAAATGATTTAGAGCGTCTACAAAGTG